ATTGAGTGGGTCTTGAATAATTTTTTCATCGGTAGGAGATTCCATCACCACATCATTTTCACTAGGATGGTTAAAAGGTATTTGATATCCATCTTTCTATAACTAGACTAGAAATAGCTTCACGCAATCCATTGATACCTTCATCTTCACTGACTTTTGAGTTTTGATTCAACATTAATATCTTCATTTGATTGGATCTTGCTGATATTTTTATCTACTTCTAAATAAGACGCCATGGTAGGAAAAAATTTGGAATGATTGGGAATATTAAGTTAAAACTAATTATTGTAGAATTATGTGTTTTATGTGTACATGTGTCATGGTAAAGTATAACATAAGATATAAAATTATAAAATACTCTATAGATTAATAAATATTCATTTATCGATAATTTAATAACTCATCTAAAATAATAATTTTTCTTAATCCCAACATTAGTATTTTATAGAGGTTTTATTGTAATAACTTTACCATCTGATTTGATATAATCAATAACGATAAATTTTCTTTAAATTTTCAAATTGTTCTAAAATTAATATTTTCATATTGTTGTAATTTTTGCTAAACACCCATGCATATTATAAAATTGATTTCACTTTCAACATTTGAAACCCTAAAAATACACATCTACACTTGTTATTTGATTTGTGCCAAACATTTACGAGACGTAGACTATGATAGAGTCATGTTGGGACATGTAACTGCGGAGAAGTAGATGAGATTTTTTCAAAATTGTATAGAATTTTTTGATTTGTCATCCATATTCATGAATCGTTAGAGAATTTCTAAATCATTGAATGATTAAAAATATTAATCCAATTGAGTTTATTTTGTCTATAAAAAAATCACTTTATAATATATATAGGTAATAGTAAGACGAATCACATTTTTTTATGACAGCAACCTGACTTGAATCTAAAGTATATTCATCTGATTGAGATGATTTATTCTCCGCCATGCCATGGCTTCTTGCCTTTTTTTATAAATTTTAAAAGCCTTGCATCATCTTTAGTGGTTCCAATAGACAGTAGAGCATCAATAATATCGAACATATTAATAATGAGTATTATATATAAATAATTTATAATCTAAATTCCCCTAAAAGGACATCAAAATTCTCTCAAATATATACAAAATTAGTTATTTGTATTTGGTATGAGATACTTCAAGATGATAATATTACTATTTCAACAACTTCCGGCACAGTTACTTGAGTCAAGTCGAGAAGGTAAGCCCAAAAGAGACTTAATCCTATATAGACAACGGTGGGAGAATGCGGCAAGGCCTAAGACCCCCAAGCCCTCTCGAATGAGTTCTACTATAGAAGCTTTTAACGTAGACCCTGAATTTTGGACTGTTTGATCAAGTAAAGGAAACTCAATGGAATTCATAACTTGGTAGGTTTCGACTTCAGCCTCAACATTGTTCTCTCTTTCTCTTTCTATGCCGAATTAATCGTATTCTGGGCCGGAGCAATGAACTTATTTGAAGTGGCTCATTTCGTACCAAAGAAGCCTATGGAGCAAGAATTCCCAGGAACATTTGGAACATTTCGTTTCTGAGCAGAAGAGCCGTTTGCAAGTTTTAAAAAGTGCACATCCTTTTTAGTAGCAGAGTCGGGGGAAAGAGTAGGAAAGGTTGATCCAGTGGAAGCAACGGCTAGGGCATGGACAATTTAACATACTACTAAACATGTATTTTTGATGTGATCACCAGTTCAACAAACTATATATATCATCCAGTGACTTGCTTTGACAAAATCATATACGGTCATCAGTAGATTAATTTTCAAAAATAGAAAATATGACTGATTGATGGTTGGACAAGTTGCATTAATATTGACTAGCCAAAGAGGTAACCAACATTATGAACTTTTTTTTTATTTACCAATGGTGAAAAACATAAACATTGACGTACAATTAATGGGGTCATGTAACGTAATTTTTCGTGTATCTCAACACATCATAAGAAAGTAATTTTTCGACTTACTTTTAAATTTAACATCACGTGTTGATTAAAAAATATATTTATTGTTTTGGGTCTTGCATTCAAGTGGTGCAATTTTTGTTAATAACGAAAGAAAAATAGTATAAATATTGAGAAGGTGAAGTCTGACAATATTTTCATTTGAAGATGAAGAATAAAATATAAAAATATATGTCAAGCGTGTCTTGTGAAATATTTAGTGAGCTAATTAATTGGGATTGGATTATAAATTAATGTTCTTATATTCATATAATATTCAGTTTAATTGAAAAAAAAACATGAAAAATAGAACAAATTGTTGTTTGGAAGAATACACCAACAAAATACTAGCATGGGATGCCAGTTTCCCAAAACTCGAGTTACTTTTTTTTTTTTTTTTTTTTAAAGAAAATACCACTAGTGGGGTTTATTTTATATAATGAAAAGCGGGAAAACAAATAGAGGAGGGGGGCATGGACCTGACCTCCAGCAAATGTAAATTGTAACAAATTGCCAGTTTTCCCAAAATCGAGTTTCTTTTTTTTTTTTTTTTTTTTTAAAGCAAATACCACTAGTGTGGTTTATTTTATATAATGAAAAGCGGGAAAACAAATAGAGGAGGGGGGCATGGACCTGACCTCCAGCAAATGTAAATTGTAACAAATATTTGAAGATAAAATGCAATCACAGTAAACAAGACACGAACAAAAACTAATGAAAGGGACTCAAGGGTATTCCCGAGGGTAAATCTTTGGGTGGTAGTACATAGACATTGATCGAGTCATGCGTCTGGTTTGAAACATTTCTGGATCATAGTAGTCTGCGATGTCTGGCTCGCTCGTTGGAGAGGGGTCTCACCTGCGTGTAGGAGCCTGCTTTGCTGATAAGTAATGATCAGATGGTGGTGCACTGAATGTCGGGCGAAAAGCGGGTGCATCTGATCTCATAAAAAATATAGATTACTCATAATTCAGATTAAATTTAAGAAACTTTCATGAAACTTACGACAATTTCAGAGATACCCTCTTTGGTTTTAAAAATTTCACAACCTCTCATGAAATTTATTTTGAATAACGGATTCCTTGTTAATAAACTATATTTTTTTCCCATGTTACCCTTGGACCTTGGTTATTAATAATCTAATTTGTATCTATTATTGAATAGGATTTTACTATCCTAGTTTGCTCCAATTTTATCCTCATTCCTTAAGATCTTGTTAACACTTGTATTAGCATTAAGTTTATATAATGAATCATGCTACAAGTAAAGAATTTTTTGAAAGAAAATTTTTACAAACAACGCATATCGCAATATCATTGAAAGATGAAGAAAAAGGAAAAAAACAATCCACTTACATTTTATCACGTCAACATCGGTACAAGTTTTGTTAAATTTTTCTGTACTTTTGGCTTTATTGTTATATAATAATGTTTGAAATGAAATTATATTTTTTAATCTCTATTTCTTAATATATATTTTTGGATTTTGTTTCACGTACACCAAGCTTGAAAGTTCGATGTACAGCCCCCCTCACAAGAGGGGGGCCCTCGGTTTTTTTATTAGATGCTGGCCCCCTTTTTTGGTGAGGGGCTGTACACCGAGCTTGTGTACAAACATTAAAACCCTATATTTTTATATTATATTTTTAAGATGGTTCTCCAGTCTCCAAGGTGGGATATGACACGATTGGTTTAAAATATTTGTTTAGGGAGTTTTTTATTTTATTTTTATATTATGTTTTTTCAATAAATTTTGTATTTAAGAAAATAATATTGAAACAAATAAATAATTAAAAACGTAAATGTAAATAATTTAATCTCCTGTTTGCCCTGCCTCATAAAAATCCCTAGGGACAAGGTTGATCGTCCTGCTCCCATTATCTTTCATATATCCTTTTTTACTTAATTATTTTTATTTTTAACTATTATATATTTTTAATATGATTGTAAATTTAAAAATATAATAAAATAAAGTAAAATAAGAAATAATGGCCCTGTTTGGTAGGGATTTTTTGCCCAAAAAAATTAATTTTTTGACCGTTATTTTACTATTCAAGTCGTAATTTTTGACTTCTTCTCTCACATGTGGACCCCACTTTTCTTCTAACGGTCAAAAAATTAATTTTTTGACCGTTATTTTACTATTCAAGTCGTAATTTTTGACTTCTTCTCTCACATGTGGACCCCACTTTTCTTCTAACGGTCAAAAAATCAATTCTCAAAATCCCTACCAAACGGGGCCAATAACTAGAACTGGTTTTAGGATGGAGCAAATGCAAGACGTTCCAGTGACGGTCCATTTTATTATCCTAGACTATATTAAATTTAAAACTTTCTTATTATAATACAAAAAGACAGTAAAGAATGTATCAATTTTATTCGTTTATAAGAAAAACATAATGGTTAATTTGGATTAATATATTGAACATCTATTTGGTGGGAATCAAAATCAGATTTTAAGTAAAGTTTAATAAAAGTTGATGAAATGTACAGTTGAAAAATTGTGAATTCCATGAAAAATATAAGATTAAAATTAATTTTTGACTTTAATTTAGATTAAAATTAGAATTTTATTTTCTACCAAGATAAGTACATGTTTGGTTTTGATTTTTTAACCAAAAAATTAGCCGTTACTTTTTTAAGTCAGCCGTCATTTTTTACTTTTTTTCTTACAGATGAAACCAACTTTTCTCTTTAATGGTCAAAAAATCAATTCTCATAATTACTATCGAACAAGCCTTAAATAGGAAAATAAATATAATTTTATATTTAACATAAAAGAGAAAGGGTAAAAGTAAAATGGTAAGTTCATACTAATGGGGGAGATTTTTGAAAATTTTAAAATCCGAGGTGTCTCTTACATAAATAGTTATCGAAAATTACCCCAGAAGTTATAGAATTAGAAAACAACCTCAAAATTACCTCCCGCACCCCGGCCCCACCCACGCCGCCCCACTCCTCAAATGAAAATAATTGCAAAACACACACACACACACACACACATATTATTTATTTATTTATTTTTGGGGTACCTGGGGGGTGGGGTTTGCTACCCCGTAGGCTTTTCATCTCTCTCCTCTCTCTTCTTCCAAAAGTCTCTTTGACCATCGCCTCCAGCAGCGTTCCTTCTTCCCTCCTTCCTTCTACCTTCTTCATACTGTGTAATGATTTCACACTTTCCTCTCTTATGATAATAACCTCTCTTTTTCTATTTATCCGTGTTCTTTGTTTCACATGACCATTAACAGTGATCTTTCTTGAAAGAAATCTGAATCTTTGACAAGGGTTTGGATCCTTTTGATATCTGGAAATGGGCATCTGTTTTTCCTCCACCAAAGTTAGTGGTTCCAATAGCAACACCCCTTCAACTACCGCGAACAACCACCAGCACCACCGTCCCGGAAATGACTGCACTGCCAGTAAGCAAGCCTCCACCACCACCACCACCAGCGTTGCGTCAAGAAAACAAGGGGTTTCTCATTATAAAACAAAAGAAGGTAATAGGAATCAACAAAAGTGGAATATTCCACATATTGCTAAGAATAGTTCAAAAAGGCCAGGTGGAATCATCCCTTGTGGGAAAAGAACAGATTTTGGGTATGATAAAGATTTTGATAGTCGGTATACTATTGGGAAATTATTGGGTCATGGCCAATTTGGTTATACATATGTTGCAATTGATAAGTCAAATGGAGATCGTGTTGCTGTGAAGAAAATCGAGAAGAAAAAGGTATTCTTTTTCAACCATTTTTTCATAATCTCTCTCTCTCTCTCTCTCTTTTTAATAGATTCATAGGAAAATTGGATTCAATAGGCTGCATTTTGTCGCTCTTTTAATCAGTCGGCATCATTTAGACTTCTGCGAAATTGGTTTTATTAGTGGCAGTTCGTATGGGATTTGTTTTTTCTTAATTGGTCAATTCTCTGGGTTGTATGGTTTACGCTGTGCTTAAATGTTTAAGCCTTTTTCCATGATAGATATTTATTGAGATGTATGATTCCATGGTAAAGTTTTGATCTTTTTGCATCTTAGGCTACCGAAAAGAAGCTCCTTATAATGACACCATATATGGTTATAATGGAATGTTCACCAATTATTTATTGGGAATGTATGCTTTTTTTGATATTTCTAGTTTATCCATTATTCAAGTTAGGTTTATTAGGCGATTCTATTGGTTTATTTATTGCATGTCCAAATTTGCTTTATATTGTTTCTTATAACTAAGATAAGTGGCTGCTCCTTCAGTAGAACTTGATCTCTCTCAAATGTGAGGTTTTGCTTTGGTTTTTGGATCTTTATAGCAATCTTTTTTAAAATTATAAAAAAATGTCTTGATTCCTTGCGCTATTCCAGAATTCTGCTATTCTGTGGTGCAATATTTGTGTGGGGATAGGAAACTGTCTTTGTGAAAATGGTAGGCTTGCCTTTGAAAGGTTAATTAAAGGGAAGAGAGTTTTAGTCCCCAGATATTCTAGCTAATAAATAAAACTTTCCAACTGTAAAAGAAATGCAGCAATTATCAAAAATATGTGCATAGCCCTTAGTTAACTAGGTTTTCAGAAAGGAGTCTCAATAGTAGGATATATCAAGCAATGCAGTTCCAAGATGGATGTGTTGTATCCTCTTTTTAAAGCTGCACATTTTCTTGAAAACTGCATGATGACTTAAGTCCCATTGAAGTAGAAATTTCTGACTTATGTTTGTAATCCTGCATATCTGGCAGATGGTTCTTCCCATTGCTGTAGAGGATGTCAAGCGAGAAGTCAAGATATTGAAAGCTTTAGCTGGTCATGAGAATGTTGTTCAGTTCCATAATTCATTTGAGGATGATTCTTACGTGTACATAGTAATGGAGTAAGTTCTCAGAAAGTCCATTTTGTAGTTCAATGTCCTTTTTTTATTCCTCCTGCAATGAGTTGTATGAGTTGAACATGGTATGAATGGTTTGTTTTCAAATTTGGTCTACTTAGGTTATGCGAGGGTGGTGAATTGCTGGACCGCATTTTGTCAAAGTAAGCATACCCCATTTTACCATTTAATATGATATGTAGGCTGTTCTTTCGAATTGAGAAGCATTATTCCAGGACTTACCTATGATTTCCTTTAATCAGAAAGGACAGCCGTTACACAGAGAAAGATGCGGCAATCATTGTAAGGCAAATGCTAAAAGTTGCAGCTGAGTGTCATTTGCATGGTTTAGTACACCGTGACATGAAGCCCGAGGTATGCTTAGAGTCAGAGATTATCATTATGTTTGAAAGGAAATATGGTGCTTGATGTTCTCACTTAAATTTTTCCCCTCCAGAATTTTCTATTCAAGTCACCAAAAGATGATTCGTCATTGAAGGCTACAGATTTTGGTCTTTCAGACTTCATTAGACCAGGTAATCAGATGTTTAGTTTTGTTATTTGTTGGTTAAACATATACTTATTTCTGAAATTTTGGAATTTTTATGCTCGACTGTATTACTTCAAATTTTTTTAGTCCAATCCAATTGCATATTTTTTTAGGTAAATGCACATGTACGTATATACATCGTCATTTTTATGCACACCACTAGTCATCTGAATGACTAGACTAAGCTGTATACTACCTTCCAAACATTTCAAGATCTTCATGCACCTGCCAATTGTTATTTATATTATTTTATCGAAGGTTTTAATTTGTTTCCCATTCATTATGAACTCTCAACATTTATTCTGAATGCAGGAAGGAAATTCCAAGATATTGTTGGGAGTGCATACTATGTCGCTCCAGAGGTGTTGAAGCGTAAGTCAGGCCCTGAATCTGACGTGTGGAGTATTGGTGTAATCACTTACATTTTGCTCTGTGGCCGGCGCCCTTTCTGGGACAAAACTGAGGATGGCATATTTAAAGAGGTAAGTACTGCATTTCATTCTTGGTGCACGAGCTTGAAATAATGGATAATCCTTAAACTTTCTTTGCACTTCACAATTTGTTTCATGATGTGTGCGATTAACTTTTCTTTGCAACTCTCAGATTTCATTTGATTTTGTCCTCAAATTTCCATTAACGGCTTGCTTTTGGATCCTTGACCTCAGATAAAAAGGAATCAGTAAAAAAATTCTTGGCATTGAGTTTTATCTTCATCTTGAAAGAAGTTTTGTTACTCTCTCACAAGCTTTCAAGTATTTTGACATGTCCCGCCGCATTATTTGTATATCATTTGCATTTGTGGACTTGAGCATCTTTAAATTTCACATGTTTGGTTATTCTTTGATTATAACAGTATTTATGTTATTTAAAAGGTTCTAAGAAACAAGCCTGACTTTCGGCGAAAACCATGGCCAAGCATAAGCAATGCAGCTAAAGATTTCGTGAAGAAGTTATTGGTGAAAGATCCTCGTGCCAGGCTTACTGCAGCCCAGTCATTGTGTATGTATTTGTTCTTCTTAAAGGCAACACACGCTTATAATTTACGAAAAATGGGGTTATTCGTATCAAGTGGTTTCAGAATGATTCATGCAATAATTGTGTGAATTTACAAAGGCAAGGGTGATTTTATTTAGACTCTCCATACGTGTAAGCCTTTCCTCTACGTTTATTTGTAGAGACCAAACCCAGTGTTTAGGTTTTTACGTTGAGAAAACAAATGGATACCCTTCTTCCTTCATTTTCCAGGGTTTTAAAAAGGATGATCACGAGATTGATAGGATTAGCTTTATGCCCTGGGTCGAGATAATTGAATCAAATTCTGACCTGAACAGGTTGATATTATGGGATGACCTCACGAACAAACTTTAATTCTGTCCAACGTGCAAGTTTTAAAAACTAATGCAAACTTGATGTAGTTTTGGATATCAATTAATTGGTATGACCTCATTAGCTTCCTTACATATACTTTTCCAAGATGATAGAATACATTTCGATGCCAGGAATGCTATCCATCTGAGATTTGGTTTCAGGATAGTGGGATCACATACATTTGGTGAAAACATTTTACGATTGATTGCATGGAAAGCTTGCTAATGAACAACAATAAACTGATCCTTATTCCAGTGGATCAGCTATACGATTCCTTACCTATTCAACCCATCAATACTCTACTAGATTACATTTACCAGAAGACATGGTGTAATTACCATTCTCAACCACATCAGGCCATGGTTATTCTAATCCACTTCCCCTCTTCTAACCTGCTCTATTGGATCGGATCATTTCTTTTAATTGGGCTCATTAGGTCTATGCTAGACGTGCCACAACCACGTGGGTTGTCCTTAAGTTTATCTTTAATCAGTGTCACTTCATTCTTTGGCTGATAATCTCATTTCTATTATCTTTTTAATTCTAATATGACCATTTATCCATCTTAACATTCTCATTTCTGCTATCGTTCAAGTTTTTGAAGTGTCTAGACAACAATCAGTCAAGTTCTCACCAGCGATTGACATGAAAGATATTTTGAATATCCCTTTCTTCCTCTAAGTGCTGTTTGATGGATTTCTAATATTTGTGTACTAATCTTTTTGCCTAAATCTATTTTAATTTACGGATCTTTCTAATTTTCCAGCACATCCATGGGTTCGAGAAGGAGGTGAAGCTTCCGAGATTCCATTAGACATATCTGTTCTAAACAACATGCGGCAGTTTGTGAAATACAATCGATTGAAACAGTTTGCCCTTCGGGTAACTCAGATATATTTTCCTTTGTTTGGCTGAAACTTGTTATGGCTTTAATGATTTCATACTATGAACACAAGTAATTTAAGATCAATTTTCTATTTCAGGTATTGGCTAGCACACTTGATGAGGAGGAGCTGTCTGATCTCCGAGATCAGTTTGATGCAATTGATGTGGACAAAAATGGCTCCATTAGTCTCGAGGAAATGAGACAGGTTGTTTTTGTTGTATGATTATGTATCTAAATAGTGTTTTGTTCATTTATTTTCCTAGTTTGGTAGAGATGCTGGTAGGCCTGCACAAGAGTTATGCTAAATTTCTGGCAAATTAAAATGGGCAGGCGTCTATGTGCTAATTTGGCATTTTCATGCGATCACATTGTGTTTAAACGCAGGCACTTGCGAAAGATCTTCCTTGGAAAATGAAAGACTCTCGTGTTCTTGAAATTCTTCAGGCGGTATGTTTTGTCTCACTTGAACAATGCATCGTCATCTTCATTGTTGTTTTCAGAATTTTAACTAGTAATGACTGAACTCTGTACTTTACTTGGCTGATCAGATTGATAGCAATACCGATGGGCTTGTAGATTTCTCAGAGTTCGTTGCAGCTACCTTGCATGTTCATCAGTTGGAGGAACATAACTCGGAAAAGTGGCAGCAAATGTCACGGGCTGCTTTTGAAAAATTTGATGTTGATGGAGATGGCTTTATAACCTCAGAGGAGCTTAAAATGGTATGTAGCGTGTCTAATTCCTCTTTTAGTGAATCATTAGTCCATATTTCTTATTTACGGAAAACCAGAAATAAAAAATAAAAACTTGGATAGTTTACTAGATCAAGTAACAAAACTTGAGATTGTTGATCAAGATTGATTTCCATTGGTTGGCTCATTTGCCTGTGTAAGATGTGAAAGTTTTCTACGCGAAATGTGCGAAGGAAAACTATTTTAAAGGTCAGTATGTAAAAGTGGCTTCTGCTTATACTGTGTTATGGTTGTGCAGCATACCTGCCTACGGGGTTCAACAGACCCTCTTCTAGAAGAAGCAGACATTGACAAAGACGGGAAGATAAGCTTATCGGAATTCCGGAGGCTTTTAAGAACTGCAAGCATGAGTTCACGAAACGTGACTAGCTCATCTGTAAATCGAGGTTAACTGGAAAATATAGTTTTTAATAGCGGGGTTATGAAAGTCTGATAATAATGAATGTCATGTTGAGTTCCTTTCTCAATGTGAATCGTCTCTCATCTGCTCTTCTGTACTATGATGTTTGTATCCTTCCCAGAATTGACAGATACCTTGTATGTCTTGCTTTGGTTCTCTAGAGGGAGAGGGAGAGGGAGATTGGTTACTGGACGGGGTTGCATTATTGTACTTGCTTCCGTACTGTCATAGGCAAGACGGCAAATGAAAAAACGATTTCAGATTTCCTGCTTATTGCTTAAAACGTTTTTCAGCTCACTACTGCTTGCATTCATCCTAACTTTTGGCTTCTCGACGGGATAATTATGTTTATATTTTATTTTGTGCCTTCAATGACTGGACGAGCCACAGGTACAAAACAACTAATTGAAGAGCTAGGAGTAATTACATAAATACCCACAAAATGGGAGCCATTTAGAAAAATCATGATAAGAGTTATTTTGAAGTAAAAAATACGGTAATTTTTTTTTATTAGCGTTCAACTGTTCAAGACCAACCAGTACGGTTGGAATTCTAACCACTTTGGCCAGCAAACTATTTCAAATTTTTTAAGAACAGGTTTGGATGCGTTGATATTTTAAGTTTTACAAGTGAAATTTTAATTATTTTGTTGTTGCAATTTCCTTATTTACAACTGTAACTTTATGTTTAGAAAAGTAACAAATACTCAAATAATTGATGGAAATTAAAAATAAAAAAATAAAAAAGGTTACAAAAAGTGTTATAAATTCAAAAAAAGTGACTAAAAAAAATGACAAACACCGAAAAAAAGTGGCGAAAAAAAAAACGAAAAAGTGACTCTCAAAAGAGAGACATGAATTCCAAAAAGTTACATACTCAAAAAAGCGACACAAATTCAAAGTAAGTGACAAACACTAAAAAAAAGTTACAAATACCCAAAAAAATTGACAAAAATTTAAAAAAGTGACATACCCTTAAAAAATCGACCAAATTCAATAAAAGTGACGGAAAGAAGTGGCAAACAAAAAAAAATGACAAACACTCAAAAAAGTAACAAAAATTCAAAAATAAAAATAAAAATGACATACACTAAAAAAAAGTTACACAAGTTCAAAACAAGTGACAAAAAATAAAAAGGTGATACTGATAAACACTAAAAAAGTGATAGAAATTAAAAAAAAAATGTGATTGAGAAATTGAAAAACAAACAAGCATTCAAAAAAGTTACGAAAATTCAAAAAAGTAACACACTAAAAAAAGTGACACGATTTCAAAAAATAAAAAATGACAACCATTAAATAAATATAGAAAAAAAGGAAAAGCAACAAACACTCGAAAAAGTGACATATCATGTGGCTTTAAAATTTTTTTTTTTAAAAAATGTAACTTTTTGACTTATTTAAGGGCAATGTTTCTTCACTCTTCAGTGTAGTTTCTATTATCTTATCGAAATATTTATGACAAACTTTGAAATACATCTTTAGAATTTAAACTTAGCAAATGATTAGTTCATAATTACAAATCGAAAATGGCCACAAGAAATGAACTTAATAATTATGGTTTAAACTTCATAAATTTTTTACATTGATATTGATTAGGAAAAAAATAAAAAGAAAAATTAATAAACATAGTTTTATGTTTATAATTTATGGAAGATAATTTTTTTATTTTTAAATATTGTCCATAACATGTTTATCATGATCGCATTGTAAGCTTCTAATAGATTTTTCAATCTCTCAAAATGGATAATTGTAGTGTAAAATACAGCATTAAATAAAAATATTTTAATAATAAAATTTTTAAGAGAATAAAATTAGATTGGAGGAAAGAGTTTTTCCGCCTGTGTTTCTGGACGAGTTGGAGGAAAGCGTAATTAATACTATAATAAGAGATATAATTAAGTTTAAGTATATTATTCTAATTATTTCTTTTTTTAAGGTAATGGGCCTAATTATACTTTTTTTTTTCTTTTTAACTACATATTCTTCAGTAAAATAATATAACGTGTAAATCCAAAACTTTTCAGTTAATATTAAAAACTAGTTAATTTACCAATTTGCCTCAATTCTTCGTAGTCAAAACTTCCTATGAGTAGTTTTAAACACTGTCCTGAGTGGCACTGGTTAACAAACTAGTGTTCTACAAGATGTAATCAACTGCGAGATAAATAAGATTGAACGCTAGATATAACATGGTAACCCCTAAGGGAGACATCCATGGGCCCGAGGCAATGGATATAATAGTCCACTATCAAAGAAAAAAAATACAATAGTTCCAATTTTGTAATTTCGCAAAATTAACAAAAAAAAATCAAAAGCAAGTAAAGATCATCTTCATCTTTTTATTTCTTCTTTTGATATGTTGAGGGAAGTGGAATCAAACCATTCGATCTTTATTTTATCACCACTTCACTATTGTATTTGGTCGCAACTACTACTTGGATTAAGATTTACCAATCTTAACTCGTGTCAAGTAGCATGATCTTTGAGTAAGATTATATCATTCACGTTCAAGTGTTCTCTTCAATTATGGTTGAAGAACACGATTTTTGCTTTGAGATAGTTCAATAGAATATTAGCCTGGCATAACTCATTTGAGATGGTCGGAAGACACAAAACTTGTTGCTGCAAGTTCACTAGGTGAAGGCAGATTTTCTCAAAGCATTAGTTCGTCTATTAATAATTTTCTCTACTTATGTGAAGACTCTTCCAAAATAGGAACGTCTTTTACTTAAAATATGATAGTTTTTCACTGTAAGAATAATGTAGAATATGTATGATATGGTCAATAATTAAACTAAGGAAAGTTTTGATTACTTAAAACAATCTGTCATTCTCTTGATTCACTAATCAAACTAGTCCAACATGATTAAATATATATAGTTTTGAATATGCTGCTATATGAAAGATAAAAATTGCATCTCGTTTAGGACCCAAAAAAATCCTGAAGTTCACAGCCAAGAAATTTGTTTACCTGTAGAACCCGATTGATCTTAACTGACGGGCTTACCTGTATCAGTCGAACACCTTTTTTGCACATATTTTGATATTTAAAAATCATTCTAATTTAAGCAAGCTTATAAACAAATAATAAGTAGAAATATTAAATAAATTTTACTTACAATGTTCACCTTTGGCTTAATTTAATTTCAAAAATTTCTTTTGAATTTTTAATGTCACTTTTGTGAGTGTGTGTAGAGTGTTCGCTAAGTATAGTACATGATATACTCCACCTTAGTTAGTTCTCACATATAACACAGCTCCCCCTAAAACTCATGTTTTTGTTATCACAACTACACCACCCCTCATTAAAATCTACTACTCCTTTTTTAAATTAAAAGCATATCATAAAAAGTTAATGAGCAATTAGTTAGATTAGAGAGTTGGAGTTAGAATGATAGTGTTTCGCGTGAGTTAGTCGCTAACAATTAAAAAGGGATTAGACGATTGTGTAAGGGACAAATCTCTTGAGACAAAGTCCCAAAAAGATGCGTTTTTACTGGCGATGACTTTACAATTGGAAAATAAAAACAGAATGCCTCAAAGGGGCGCAAACACACGAGTTACTGAAAAAGAAGTGTTTAAATCTAAACTAAGAAATTTAAAGTTACATATTCTCTATTCGAGAGTGTTTGATTTGGGGTTTTTTGCTCTATGTCTTTCTTCCTTTTATACTTCCTGGATGATCTCTTCGTGATCAGCCGCTTAAAAATTGCCTGATCGCTCTATAACTGCCCACTTTCCTTGTAGTGGCCAACTTATTATGAAATTGCATTCTCTAACTGCTGCCATTACTTTTGTCGTTCAACCGTCTTCAATTGAATTCCTTGAATTGTAGGACGTGATAGGACTACCCAATAACTACTTTATTAACTGCACTTTTGGGTAACCATAACATCTTATGTTTGCTAAGATGGTGGGCGACTCGAACGTTTGGACGAGAGCAGGGTCACAGCTCTGGGCGACTGCATGGCAATTCATTCGTTCAAATCTTGGGCGACTTGCAATCTTGGGCGATGGTATTACCGCGTTCATGGGTTTCCCTATTTGGACCTTTATCTTGCATTGCCTGATTGGTTCGTTCTTTGAGCTATTTGATTTTTGGGGATCTTCCAATTGAGCTTCATTCCTTGGGCTATTCGACTTGGACTGAACTTTTTGTATGTCAACAGATAGAAACGGCCAATTAGTGAACTTCTTATCATGTAGAAGGTTGATCTGGACTGACTGTCTAGCGTTGTGTCTCTGTATCTTTCTTGACTTCCTTTGCTGGGTTAGACCTGACCCTCTCTTCAGTAGGAGCCGAAGCAATGGTGGCAGCAGCAACAACATCAGTTGCTTTAGTCTAACATGATATGAGGTCAGGACCTTACACTTTTGGTACTGCAGGAGTTGAACTGGCTGTTCGACAGATAAGCATTATCCTCCTTACCTACACCTGCCAACTATAATCTACAAAATAGCTTGAAACTACAAAAATTCTAGATCAAATGCAACGAGCACTTTCTCAATTTTTAATGTCAAATAAAGTTGAACGACCCCTAATATTTGACTTAGATTTTGTTTCTAAACATTTTCGCTCATTTTTCCTTCTTGCAGTGGATACTAGAGTTTACTGCCAAATTCAAACTATTGATTAAAAAGTTCATGGAAAGCCCACACATTAAATTAAAAAAAAAAAAAATCTGAAAATTTACTAATAATTGAATCAATCACAATATTTTTGTTCAAATGTTTGATTACAACTAATTCAATTAATTTATCATATTGAAATGTGAATGTGTGATCGGACATTTTAGACATAATTAATTATGAACCACGTCCTAACCAGATTTAACAATTCTAATGATTACATGCTAAACTGTGTTTCAAACCATCCATCATCTGATATTGTCTCTTTAAATAAATATATGTGCATGCTAGAATAGAGCATCAATATAATTTTTTTTTCTTCATTTTACATGTTCATATAATGACAATTTATATTTTCTTTTTGATTTATAGTCTTTTCAGCTTGTGGAGTTGACTTTTACACGGTCATAGAAGTAGCTTTTCTCAATGATTTATGTTCATAATAAAGGACGGCTTCACACATCTATGGTAGTAGCCCTGTCCCCCAATAAAATTGTCTATTTATAAATCATATTGCCATGCAGAGAAACAAAGACAATGACTATAGGTCTGCACTTAAACATGTCACCTTCATATGCCTACCTAGTCAGTAGATGGTCACAACAATGTTGCCACTGTATCTTTATGGTGTACTTATCTGAAAAAATTTACCACAAGTTAAAGTGA